AGCATGTGGTTTCCTGTGTTTTGTGTCGCTGCTTGAGAGAAGTTGACCAAATTGCTGTGAAAAGCTTGTGAGAGTTCTGTGACTTTTCTAGGGTGCAGTACTTCTGTGCTTCCACTGCTTCTGGAATTGAGTGAAGTAGAGTGCCTACCTTGCTTTGGGAAAACTGGAACGTTTTACCTGCAAATTAATGGGGGAGGAAAAATGTTTCCTTAACTTAATGTTCTTTCTCAAGACTCTGAACATCAGCTTCATGCTCCACTTTTTGCTAAGTGACTGTTCTGTTTCACTGGAGTGTGTGGCAGAAAGACAGGATGATGCTGATGGGAATTGTCTCTTAGGGGAGCTACAATAATTTTAGTTTCCAACTAGAACTTCCAGTTTCAAAACTGTGATTAATATATTAGGAGGAATATGTAAAGTTACCGTGGATGTTCAGTTCCTTTAAAACAAGATTGCCAGTTTGCTGCTTCAGCTGACATTTCTGTCAGTATCTCAGCTGCAGTCGCATAGTGACCTTGAGAACAAACAGCCAAACAAACAATTCTACTGACTTTGGAAATGAAACAGCCATTTGGAGACTTTCAAAGTTGCCTTATGTTGTAGTAAATATTTTTGCAGGCAGTTTTCAGAACGTTTGCTTAGAAGTGCAAAGTATAATTGTCAGTTAAGGCTTTGTGCTTTTATGTTTTGATAATATTTGATTTGTCAGCCTTTTAGGCATTTAAGTTTAACCTGTGCTAAGATGGAGTTCTGCAAGAGCAGATTCACATAAAATATGTTTGAAACTTCCTCTGTTTTTCATAAAAATAATTTGGACCACTTGGGAGGAAAAAGTGGAGATCCTAAATAATAAACAACCAAGCATTTCACAGTAAATGCAGGGGGGTTCTGTAATTTTAATGTTTAAAGTGCACTGTATTTTTATCTCCCTCAAATTTGAAATTATTTTAAAATTGCATTTCTATAAAAGTTTTTTACCTGTAGTTAATGGAGGTAATACAGGTAATAACAATGACATCAATTAGTGCAAAAAGCAATGTAATTCTGGTATCGAATCTCTTAATTTTCAATTATTATTATGCTGTTTTCTGCTCAATAAGAGCTGCAACCTGTGCACTGTGCAGCTGTGCCACAGGGTGGGGGGTGACCATGGCTGTTGAGCCAGCAGTGCCTCCTAAGAGGGAGTGCTGGTTCTGGGTTGGGAATGTTGTAGTGATGAACCTGTTGCACCTGAGGCCTCGAATGCCCGAACACATCACTGTGTGCTGTGAACAGCCTTGTAGGCAGTTCTTTCTCTCATGTGTTACCAGATAAATTGTAGGATGCACTTTTTGTGTGTTCTGGAAGTTCTTAGAGTTTGATATAGCGTTAAACAAGAAGTGATTAGCTGACTCTCCGTCTTCCTTTAGGCATATCCTTTAAAAATTGCATGATGTGGAATCAGTTGGAGATTCTGAACAGGGAAATTGAAAGGTTATTGCAGAACTGCTGCGTGGAAGAAGACACTTTAAACTCAGACTGTCTTCAGCCGTCAGTGACTGACTCCCTGGATGTAATCACTGCTTCAGACAATGGAGCAAAATTCATATTAGAGCAGGTATTCAATGCCATGGGATATAGCACCAGGCTCTTTATAATTAGTTTGTTCTACTGTCTTTTTTGTTACTTTTTTTCCCCTGTTTTTGGAGTGGGAGAAGTTGGCTGAGGGAAAGAATGTGTATAATATACATAATCCCCTGTAGAGAAGGTAGAGGGGAAGGAACTACTGATGTGGATCTACCTATACACTCATGTCGTTTTTCCTAAATTCTGCTTTGCCACAGTCATGCAAAGCTTGAGATTTATTGATGAAAATCAAGTGTAGGGAGACGTTTGTCTTTTCACCTTTTCTTATTTTTTGGATAGTGGCATGGCATTGGAGAACATGTAGAGATGATCATTGCTTAAGAAGTTCTTAAGGTTTTAAAGGTTTTCAACAACAAAGATGCTTTAATTGTTGAGAGCTTGAGAAGTTAGAAAAAAACAACAAAGGTATTCTTTAAAAGCAGAGTCAGACTGTGTATTGGTGTGTCTATGAAGGATTATCTAATCTGCTCTAAAATTTGTGTGTCTCCCCACATGGAGTGTTAATAAACAATTTTTACTCCTTTGAAAGAACTACTGATGTTTTAGTTAGGTCCTACACCTGCTGTGACAGTTAGCTGCATCTTTAATTGCGAATGCTGCAGGGTCTGTCTTCAGTTTTGTCTTTTGTCTTCACTAATTTATTTTATAGGGCAGTTCATCCTGTCCAGCTGCTCCTCCTTTTCCTCCCAAGTTCTGTTGCAGTGTTCTTGTAGTCTGGTAGAGTGCTTTGGGTTACTGCAGGCATTTCCTACTGATGATGAAGCTCAGGTGCTTGAAGCTGCAGTTTTGTGTGATGAAATTTAGTCTAATGTTCCCCACTGTAACCTGGGATGTGCTGATGGAGTTCAAAAGCATTTCTGAATTTCATTGCACAGTGTGCACTTAGGGATTCCACTCTCAGTATGCTTTTAAATACTGCACATGGAATGGATTCTTACAGTTTGCTACTGTTCTGGAAGTGTTAATGGCATCTAAATGAATTGATGAGAGGGCAGTTGTATTTTGTGTTTCTTTCAAAGGTCTCACCCGTTGGTAAGTGGGAGGTTGGACTGCTTTATTTTGACTTTGCTTTCCAGTTCCAGTGTCCTTCTGAAAGTACAAAACTGTTTTGAGGACAAAATAATGGAATTTGCTATATAATGTAATAAAGGCAAAACAGATCTATGTAAACAATAGTAAGATAAGTTAATAAATACATTCGTGCCTGATTTTATCTCGTCTTTTCTTTTTCCCCAGGAGCCAGCAGGAGAAAGAGGATTGATAGTATTTGGTGCTGCTGACAGCTCAGAGATTCAGTCTGGCACTTCGGACTCAGGAAATTCAGCATGTCCTGGATGGATGATGCTGAATGACTGTGATCCTGTGCTGCCCTCCTCTGGCTCTGCTCTTCGAGGAGAAACCACTCAAACCTCTGATGCTGTGTCAGGTAAAGTGTGCAGAGGACATGAAGAGACTTCTGAGCTCTACATTTTGTCTGGAACTTAAATCTCAGCATTTGCTTAGCTCTGCTTCTAGCTTTTAACATGTCTTCATCTTCCAGGGTAAACAAATATGTAAACTTTGGCTGTTTTGACTTGTTCCCTTCTATTGGAACCTTTTCTTGGTGTGAATATCATTTTAGTGCTGTTTACAAACAAAAGCAAAAAATCTGTGGCTAGTGATTTTTTTTAAATGGGGTAACTTAATGGAATTTCATACTGGACTGAAGCAGTTTCAGCTTTTTACCTGTGCACTGCAGGCTTAAAATTAATATTTTATTCTGCTTATAAAGTTGAAAGTAATCAGTTGCTACTGAAATCAGTGCTCTGAAGTCTGCTGGTTTTACAGTGACTTTCTAGTATCTCACCAAAATGAGATACTTACGTTACACCTTAAGTGTTAATTTTTTAAACAGATCTACATGAATTTTGATGTGTCCATAGCATTGCCCATTAATGTTTCTGCTGAGGCAGTGTCAAATTGGTGCTGAAAGCAGAGCTGTACCACAGAGGTTGTGTTAAGACAGCACTAGTGCAGGTGTATGCAGTCAGGAGGCATTTTAGCCCCAGCATACTCTGCAGGATTGGGAATAGCTTGCTGAAGGATGTGCCTCTGGAAACTTGTAGCTGTGATATGTACACCTGTTGGAAATATCTGATCCTTTACTATTGGTGTGGAGGAATTCTGTTAATGTTCCCTTTTGGCTTACCTCTGCAATTCCTTAGCCGGGGATACACATATAAGCACTCCAGAAACACTCTTGGAGGGGAGTTGGGGGTGTTTTGTGTTCAAAGAACTGTTTCTGCTTAGCCCATGCATTGGGGTGTACTGACTGCTGCATGTGATGGTGTGGTGTGAGCAGTGCAGTGACTGTAGAACACACAAGATGCAGCTCGTTTGAAATATAGCAGATTTAATACTTGTTCAATTCAGGTTATTCCTGAATTACTCAGAATTTCTCTCTTTTACATCTGTCTTCTCAAATATAAGTGTCCTAGTGTGCTGGGAAATACTTTTGAGGAAAAAGGAATCCTAGTTGTTAGCATAGATTTGATTTTATTTTTCTCCTGTGGCTCCATTTGTGACAGTTGGAGGTTTTTTGCTGAATTTTTTTTTTTGGGGGTCAGTCTGGTAGATCACATGGGCTGGAAACCTTTTTGTAAATAACCATGTCAAGGAACAGCCTTTCTAAAGTTTCATTCCACACATTTTTATTTTGTTTTTTTTTTAGGGAGCTTTGTTCTTTTTTTCCAATGAACCTTGTTAGAGAAATAATGAAGGGGAAGTATCACTTTCACCTGAATACCCATCAGTGTTTCAGAACAACAGTAGCAGCTAAACAAATAGGCAAGATAGAGCCAGTTTATATTTGAAATACAAGTTGTTTGTTACAATAAATAATGAGATTACACCAGATTTTTTAATAATTACTTAGGCTATTAATATTTTTGAATCAGAGTTGTGAACGTTCTGTTTCTCTACAGTGTTTCAGAGTGGGGACAGTGTGGTCCATACTATGGAAGAGTCTGTAAACACAGTGCCATTAGAGTCTGAACCTAATACTGACAACATGGAAAACAGTTCTCCTGGTAAGAGTTCTTCCTTTTCAGCTGAGCTGAAAACGTGCTGATTTATCCATTCTGTGTATATGTGTATGTATATAGGGAGTTGTAACAGCTGGGTTATGTTGGCACAGGGATCAATGATGTACATACTGCTGCTGTATTAGATTCACAAGAAAATACTGTGTCTGTTTTTAGGGTCATAATGTGAGGTGGAGATACATATGTTATCCTAAAGAAAATAATACTGTGTTGAAAAAAAAGTTGTAAGAAAAAGCAACTTTCTTCACCATCACTTTGACTCTTCCCTTGTTTTTAGCATCAGTTTTGGATGATAAAGGTGAGCAAAGCAATGAGGAGGAGCAGAAGTCTATCAAGCCTACAAGTAAAGAGTTCAGGAAGACCTGGGGCTTCCGTAGGACCACGATTGCTAAGCGTGAGAGCGCGGGAGACGCTGATGTGGACTGCAGTGAGCAGCAGCCGCAGCAGCAGGGCCTGAGCCTGCGGCGGAGCGGGCGGCAGCCAAAGAGAACCGAGAGGGTGGAGGAGTTCCTCACCACCGTGAGGCGCAGGGGGAGGAGAACTGTGCCTGCCATTCTGGAAGATTCCAGTGAAGCAGCGTCCTGCCCGGCTACGGATGCTGAAACGGCTTCCGAAGGAAGTGTTGAGAGCACTCCAGATACAAAACCCGTCACTCGGAGGATTTGCACCAGGAGCTGTAAGGATCAGAAAAGCCCTAAAAGTAGGCGTGCAAAAGAGGAAGAAGAAGAAGAGGAGGAGGAGGAGGAGGAAGAGGAAGATGATACTTCTGATAGTGATAGCGATGGGTTAACACTAAAGGAACTGCAGAATCGCCTAAGAAAGAAACGTGTTGAACAGAAACCTGCACAGCTGGTGGTGAAGGATGCACAGAGCCACCCAAGGAAGAGGAATTCAGAGCAAGATCCTGCTAAAACAGGTGATGTCCCAGCTGAAAAACAGGCTGAGTCTGAGCTGTCTGTCAAACAGGAGCCTGAGACTGCAGACAGCACCGAGGTAGCAAGTCAGGTGGTTGTGACTGAGGAAGACACCGAAGATCTTCAGGCTCAGAAGGAGGAAACACCTGCCCTTGGTGTAAAGGAGGAAGAACCTGAAGAACAGCCCAAAAGCAAACCTGAGTCTGAGATTTATGACCCAAATGCTCTGTACTGTATTTGCCGTCAGCCTCACAACAACAGGTAGGCAAAGGGTTCAACTGGAGACAGGTGTGAGGAGTTAGAATTGTTCTCTGTGGAAAAATTCAGCCAAATGCTAACTTTGAGCATGTGTAAATGAGGTGTTGGGTTTGTTAAAGTTTGGGGCAGAGTTATAAAAGTACTTAAAAGAATAAACAAATACAGAAGCGACCAGTGAGGCAGAGTTGTGCCCTGGTGCTTCCTGAGGGTGCGTGAGTTATCTGTTGAGTGTTAATTGTCTGTTAATTTCACTGTCCTTGGTGGGTTTGTTTTGCAGGTTTATGATCTGTTGTGATAGATGTGAGGAATGGTTTCATGGTGACTGCGTGGGTATTTCTGAGGCTCGAGGGCGATTGTTGGAAAGGAATGGTGAGGACTATATCTGTCCAAACTGCACCATTCTCCAGGGGCAGGATGAGCCTGTGTCAGAACTAGACCAGCAGGAAGCTAAAGTGGAGCAAGGAAATGTGGATGGCACAGAATTCACAAGCATAGGAACAATTGAACAAAAATCAGTTGAGGACCAAGGAATCAAGGGTAGGATTGAAAAAGCTGCAAATCCAAGTGGGAAGAAGAAACTAAAGATATTTCAACCTGTAAGTATTTTGTTTCTTGTTTTTCATGTTTCACTGAGTACATTGAGACAATGACTTAGTTGTACAGCTGTAAATCTGACCTGGTTGTTTAAAGCTAAACATGAAGCTGAAGAGCTCACTAAATAATGCTGAGTGGCAGAGGTTTATCCATATTTCTGTCAGTACAGGAACTAAAACTGTTACTTTGAAGTGAAGGGGTTTAGAAATTTTATGTAGGTGTAAGGAAATGGTTTATGCTATTCTGCCTTCTCTAAATACTGTTTTGGAAGTCAAATAATCAGGTATTATTTTCAAAAAAAAAAACCAAACCAGAATTTTGGATTGGATTATACAAACTTTAAAGTCATCTCAAACAATTTTGGACATTTTCAGTGGCAGTGAAACTGAACATTGACAGGTGTCTGGAGTTGATTTCAACTGTACTTCCAATTAGTCTTTGCAGTTCTGTTTTTTGTCCTGATGCTGCTTTAGGTTATTAGTAAGTAGAGAATTCTTTTATACTGCCTTTTTAAACATAAAACCATGTATTTTAAATTACTACAAAATCTAAAAAGTTTGAATTTGGCAACAGCAAGTTCCATGCCCAGTTTGAAAGGCATAGAAGCTTCTTCAGCTCTATGTAGATGAATTAAAAAATCTTCATACTGCAGTGGTTGTCTTTGTCCTGCCTAAGCTACTGTAGTGATGCCAATGCCTTGAACATTTCCCTTTTCTGCTTACTATGCCTGGAAAAACAGGTTAAGTGTATTTGCTGTACAGCACATTTGTATTTGCAGTTATATAGAATGCCACAGTGATTTCTGTTTCTTTTTCTGTGTGAATTAATTCTTTCATGTCTAATCATGAAACTTTGAAATCATCCCTAGAACAAGTGTTGTAGGTTTGAGTGTAAGCATCTCTGGAAAAATCTCTCTTGTAGTACATTTTCTATCAAATGTTTCTGGAACATCCCCTCACTTTTAGTCCATTTAAGTATCAATGTCCAGAGCAGCACAATGAGATTAACATACAGATCAGAACTGTTTGAGCTTTATACAGCAATATTTACTATTTTAAGACAAATGTGTGTTTTCAAATACATTTGTACTTTGTGCACAAAAATATTTTTGGGAGTCCAGAGCTGTTGGCATTGGCTCTGCTGCTGTGTCACCAAGTGTCTTTGATATTTGTGTGCTGACAAGGTACTGGAAGGTGCTGACCATCTCTCATCCAGCGAGAGAAAACCATCTTATCATTCACTCCTTGCCTCTTGTGGAAGAACTGTTTATATGTTAGGTATTCTTTTGGTGTCTGCCAGGTGGTACCATGGTGTGAGAGAAGTGAGCAGTCAAGTCTGTGTGTGCCTTAGCCCACACTGCCCCTCATACCTCAGCTAAGATCCCTCTAAGCCTTGTGTAAAGCAGCATGGAATTTCCTTCCCATTCCAGGCGTAAAGATCATGCTGTTTCCCGTGAAATCACTCTGTTAGAGTGACTGAACAGTCTGACTACTCAGTTTATCTGTTCTCTTACACTAGAATTCCAAGCACATTGAAAAGCTCCTTCTTGTTGCTGTCCATAAGCACCTAGAGCTGCAGGGTTTTATTCCTGGGTAAAGCACCAAAAGTTGTCTAAGTACAGACATTAACACTGGAAGTTTTGTAATCAACTGAGTTAATGCCCTTAATTAGAAATGGCAGCTCAGTTAATCAGAAGTCTGAGGTTCTTCTTAGGGAACATGAATTGATAATTCTCTATCTTAACTTCTCAGTTAAGTGTTTACATGATGGGAAAGTATTCTAAAGCACAAACTTCTGGGAAAATTACCAAATCCAGGTTTTATCAGACTGCAGCAGATAATCCTGTCATACTGACATTTGGTTGGGGAAATGTGAGTCATGCTATGCAAAGCTTTATATAGCTGGAAATATTCCTGAAAAACTTAATTTTGGTGTTACAAATGGCAGTTTGCTGATGGAGTGGCTGTCTAGAACTGCAGGAATTCTGAGGTAGGTTGGTTGTATCCTGTTTTTAGGAGGAATTTAGAAGAGAGACCATAAGGATAATACCTACATTAGATATGTTGGAGCCTAAACAGCTTTCAGATCTTTCTAGGCCTTGACCTAAAGCATTCTGTTTTCAAGGAATGCTATTTTTCTGAACCTTAACATTTGTAGAGGAAATGCTTCATATGTAACACATCACTATAAATAGAGTAATTTTGAAGTAGAGGGAAGTACAGATTGCACATGCAAACTTTAAATGTGTAAGAAGGACGAGGCTATGGGAAAGTTGTCGGAGGGAATGGTTGTTTTTCTATACATTGGAGACTTCTAAAGTTAAAATCAGTAAATCTGGAGCAAGAATAATCTGCATGGCTGAGGGCAGAGCTGGTGGTGATGCAGCAATAAGCTGTGGTTTAGAGACCTTGCTCTGCAGAAACAAGGTGTGCATTATTAAGGAGATTTCTCAGACGATGTAGAGGATCATAAAAAATTTGTGTACTTAAGGGATTTGAAACTTTAGGAAACCACCCTCCTTTATTTGAGGGCTAGCAGCCCAGCCACTGGAAAGTCCAGCAGGTTCTGAAACTGGTGTGTTAGTTGGCATTGTTACTTTTGTGTGAGTTGTGTCTGTTTTGTCATGAGTGACAGAACAGCATTTTCACGCTGGCAGTAGACAGCCAGAGCTGCAGCCTGCACATGTGGTGTGTAAGCATTTCTCTGTTTTACAAAGGCTGTTCCCTGTTGTTTCCTCTTTGAACTCTGAACTCGCTCTGCTCCCTCTGTAGGTGGTCGAAGCTCCTGGTGCGTCCAAGTGTATCGGTCCTGGCTGCTTCAACTTGGCTCAGCCTGACTCAGTGTACTGCAGCAACGACTGCATCCTCAAACACGCTGCAGCCACCATGAAGATCCTGAGCTCTGGCAAAGATGCAAAACCAAAACCTAAGGAGAAGATCAAACCAAAACCTGACAAACCTGGAATGCCAAAATCTCAGCAGCAGGTAAGTTTGTGTTCATGATTCATAACAGTTGTCCTGAAGCTCAGTGGTTATTTTTGTGCTCTCCTTTGTGAGTTAAGTAAAATTGCCAAGTCCTGCATTGTAGAGCAGTTTTCTGTTGGTTTTTTTTTTTGCTATTCTCTTGTCTTTTTCTGTGGTAACAGCATTGTTTAGTTCTGCTAACAATGAAATGATTTCCTGTTACTTTTTAAAAAGTCTGAAGAATTGCCTCTAGATGGAGATAGTTTCTTGCAAATGGCTTCTAGATGGCAATGCACTTTGAAAAAAAATTAAATAATTCCAGATCAATTTACCTGTAGCAAAAGTATAAGCAGTGCGTCTTTTTTATTTAAATTTAAATTAATTTTACCTTTTTAATGTCCAAATTACTGGCTTTAGGTAGTAATTTGGAACTCTTGTAAGGTAATGTCACTACTTTGCTTTGGGAAGAACAAAGCTGAAAACAGCCTTCTCCTTTCCCTCTTGAAACCACTGCAGAGTGGTCAGAAGGTTTTCAGGCAACCTCTTGACTACTGATAAATACTCTTGTTTTGTTGTGGTTTCTTTACCATTCTCTTTTCCCGAAGTTACTCTGGGTATCACCTTTGCTTTATAGATTTGAATGTGAAATAACATCATTTCAAGTTATTGATAGGAGTTTACTGTAGCAGAAGTTTGTGTACATGTATGTGACTATATCTGTTTGCTTGTAAAATATAATGTATTTGATGCTTATTAGTAATTGAGCTTCTTTTAATTATACAGGCAGGTGCCAAACCTCTTTCAAACCAAAAGAGACAGCTCCCTGAGAAAAGAGAGGTGAATGTGAAGAAGACTGTTGTGACAACAGCCAAGACTGAGGCAAACACTCAACCTGTTGCTAGAGAGGCACCGGCAGAACCCGTCACACCGTCCTGGGCCAGTGATCATAATTACAATGCTGTAAAGCCTGAAAGGACTGCTGCCATTTCACCTGCACTGTTGTTCAAATGTATGTATGGCATAGGGATATTCCTGAGTAATCATTTATATTTTCTTTGAATACCCATCCATTCTTGGCTCTGCAAGGGAGTTTAGGATTTGGGGGTTTTTTTCCTTACTATGGCACCAAACTACTTTTCTGCACCTTCAAAGATTTGCACACAGATACACACAAATGGGAGACACTTGTAGAAGTTTGATTTGTATCATGTGACAGTTGTATGATAAGAGCCTGTGCATCTACCCATCTGATTTCTGGATGAAAACTACATGGTTAAGCTTTAAATTTTTCCCATCAAGACAATATCTGTTTCTAATGTAGAAGGTAAGTATTGCTACGTCTGTGTTGAGTTTTACAAGAAGGTTGTGCTATGTGCACTGTGAACCAGCAATTGCCTGTACTAATTTGAATTGTATTTTTGTGATTTAGATTTGGCACCTGTCTCTCAGGTCTTGCATTTTCAGTGCCTGGTGCCAAGAATGAAATCCTCCACGTGGTGTCCAACGATACTTGACACTCCTGCAAACAGCTTTTAGCTGTCAAGTATATTC